AGGATAAAAACAAAAGAACAACAATAACCACTAACCAGAGGCAATATATGCTGCCTACAAGATACACTAAAACTTTATGGACACAAATAGGCTGAAGAGAATGAGATGCAAAAAATATTCCATGCAGCCCTAACCGGTTTGGCTCAGTGGATAGAGCGTTGGCCTGTGGACTGAAAGGTCCCGGGTTCGATTCCGGTCAAGGGCATGTACCTGGGTTTCAGGCACATCCCCAGTGGGGATTGTGCAGGAGGCAGCTGATCGATGTTTCTCTCTCATCGCTGTTTCTAACTCTCTATACCTCTCCCTTCCTCTCTGTAAAAAATCAATAAAATATATTTAAAAATAAAATAAAATAAAATAAAAAATAAAAAATATTCCATGCAAATGAAACCCAAAAATGGCTGGGGTAGCTAAGGTTCTATCAGACAAGACAGACTACCTCAAAAACTGTCACAAAGAGACAAATTCATTACAGAATGATAAGTTAATTCATCAAGAGGATGACAATTTTAAGTATTATGCACCAAAGAACTTAGCAACTAAGTATAGAAAGCAAATAATATCAGAAATGAAGACAGAAAAAGAAACCCAATGTTAGTAGAGATCATTCCACTTCAATAATAGGTAAATCATCCCATCAAAAGGCAATAGGGAATAATGGAAGTTTCACTAGACTTTAGACCAAACAGAATGAATAAATATATGTATACAGAACATTCCATCCTAATGCAGAACATGCATTCTCATCAAGTGCACATGAAACATTCTCTAGGAAGATCACATATTAGGTCAAAAAAATAAGTCTCGCCGAAACCGGTTTGGCTCAGTGGATAGAGCGTCGGCCTGTGGACTGAAGGGTCCCGGGTTCGATTCCGGTCAGGGGCATGTATCTGGGTTGCGGGCACGTCCCCAGTGGGAGATGTGCAGGAGGCAGCTGATCGATGTTTCTCTCTCGTCGATGTTTCTAGCTCTCTGTCTCTGTCCCTTCCTCTCTGTGAAAAATCAATAAAATATATATTTAAAAAAAAAAAAAAAAAGTCTCAAACTTTGAGAAGCAATCATGTCAAGTATCTTATGTGATCACAATGTACGAAACTAGAAATCAACTTTAGTTTCAAGAAAGATGGAAAATTCACAAATATGTTGAACTTAAACAACACACTCCTGAACAATAAGTGGGTGGTAGGGACGACCCTAGTCAGGTCGAAACGGCCCCGGTGTGGTAGGGACAACCCCGGTCAGGTTGAAACGGCCCCGGTGTGGTAGGGACAACCCCGGTGAGGTTGAAACGGCCCTGGTGAAGTCGGGACGGCCCCGGTGAGGTTGAAACGGCCCCCGTGAGGTAGGGACGACCCCGGTCTGGTAGGGACAACCCCGGTCAGGTCGAAACGGCCCCGGTGTGGTAGGGACGACCCCGGTGAGGTTGAAACGGCCCCCGTGAGGTAGGGACGACCCCGGTGAGGTTGAAACGGCCCCCGTGAGGTAGGGACGGCCCCGGTGAGGTTGAAACGGCCTTGGTGAGGCTCAGACGGCCCTGGTGAGGTTGAGACTACTCCAGTGAGGTTGGGACAAATAAAGGGGACCAGTATGGACTGATGAACAGGGGTAGATACAGAAGCAGAGCAACATTGAACAGAATGTTAAACTACAGTGGGAAGCCTGGGGAGGGTTGGGGGGGGGATTAAGAGACCAACTGAAGGACTTATATGCATGCATATAAGATTAACCAATGGACACAAGACACGGGGCGGGGGGGGCGGGGGGTAGGGGTCGGGGGAATGTCAAGGGGGGGAAAAAAGGAGACATATGTAATACTATTTGTAATACTTTAAGAAATAAAAATTATTATTAAAAAAAAAAAAAAAAAAAAAAAAAAAAAGAACTCAAACCTGGTCAGTGTGACTCAATGGTTGAGCATCAACCTATGAACCCGGAGGTCACAGTTCGAATCTCAGAGCACATGCACGGATTGTGGGCTGGATCCCCAATGTGGGGTGTGCAGAAGGCAGCCAATCAATGATTGTCTCTTATCATTGATGTTTCCATCTCTCTCTCCTCCCTTCCTCTCTGAAATCAATAAAAATATATTTTAAAAAGAACTAAAAAATAGAGGCAAAACAAATAGAAACAATCTGTCAGAGCTTATGTTAAAATGCATAAAATGCAATTCTAAGAGGATATTTTATAGGGATAAATGCCTACATTAAGAAAAAAGATCTTAAATGAACAACCTAATCTTGCACGTCAGAAAAATAGAAACAAATTAAGAAAGTAAGCCCAAAGCTAGAAGAGGAAAAAAACAATAAATATTAGAACAAACATAAATAAAATAGACAAAAGAAAAACAAACATGAGCCTGGCTGGTATGGCTCAGGAGTTGAGTGTTGACCTATGAACCAGGTTGAACCAGGTCATAGTTCAATTCCCAGTCAGGGCACATACCTGGGATGAGGTTTGATCCCAGGTAGGAGGAGTGCAGGAGGCAGCCGATCAATGATTCTCTCTCATCATTGATGTTTCTATCTTTCTCCCTCTCCCTTCCTCTCTCGAATCAATAAATATATTGTAAAAAAGAAAAACATATGATAACAAAGAGCTATTAGAAAAAATATATATAAAATTGGCAAACCTTTAGCTAGACAAAAACAAAAGAGACAAGATTCAAATAAGTTTAAAAAGAAATGAAAGAGCCCTAGCTAGTTTGTGTCAGTGGATAGAGTGTCGGTCTGGGGACTGATGGGTCCCAGGTTCGATTCCAATCAAGGGCACATGCCTGGGTTGCTGGCTCAATCCCCAGTAGGGGGCATGCAGGAGGCAGCCAATCAATGATTCTCATCATTGATGTTTCTATCTCTCTCTCCCTTTCCCTTCCTCCCTGAAATCAATAAAGATATATTTTTAATAATAATAAAAAAGAAATGAAAGGTAAGACATCACACCTGACACTATTAACCAAAATGCATCATCAGAAATGTTGGTCGTTAACATGACCTTACATAGAGAAAAATGTCCAGATCCCACTATAAACTTCTGAAATTAAGAATCTCTAAATACATTTCAAAAAATGTTAACACTATCTGCAGACTATCAATGCAATATCTCTGCCTAAAAAAAAATAATAATTCTACAGACCTTAATTAAAAATATCTTATCACAAAAAAGAAATAATTTCTCAGTAAACACCAGTAAACAGCATCTGAACCTGCTGGAAAATGGCGACACTAGACTGCCTGAATGCAGGGTTGTCCAAAACAGGGAATTTGGAAAAAACACACACCAAAAAACAAAAAATCACATAATATCTGCAAAGAATAATCAAGCCCATGGAAAAAGACATGTGCTTAAATGTATGTAAAAAGAAATTAATATATAAAATATAGAAAGTATTAAAAAGGCATTAGCCAAAAAATATGGTTAAAAAACAGGCTAAGGCTGAGACCGGTTTGGCTCAGTGGATGGAGCCTCGGCCTGCGGACTGAGGGGTCCCAGGTTCGATTCCGGTCAAGGGCATGTACCTAGGTTGCGGGCACATCCCCAGTGGGAGATGTGCAGGAGGCGGCTGATTGATGTTTCTCTCTCATCCATGTTCCTAGCTCTCTATCTCTCTCCCTTCCTCTCTGTAAAAAATCAATAAAATATTAAAAAAAAAAAAAACAGGCTAAGGATGTAGAGACAATTTTCCCCAAAATATGTACAAATGACCAACAGGAATATAGAAAATGCTTTCCCTGGCTAATCAAGGTGGAATCCATTAGGCTCCCTGCCACACTACCAACCAAATATACTTCCCTATGAGTTCAGTGCAGCAGGTATAGGGGGTGCACAGAGAGAAGCCGGCAGTGCAAGCAAAGGACAGCAACTACCCAGAAAACTGGAAATCACCCAGTGCCCACGGTCCACCTGGGAGGACAGAGCGCACCTGGGAGATGGGGCCTGGGGAAATGCAAAGCCAAGTCCAGGTCACTGATGAGAGCGAGGGTCTTACCCAGGGAGGATATAAGTTCAAAGTTCTCCAGCATCACATTCAGGTACAGCTGTCTCTGACCCTCATCAAGGAGGCTCCATTCCTTCCTGGAGAAGTACAGGGCAATGTCCTCAAAGGTCACCCCAACCTGTCAGATTGAGAAAATTGAAACCAAAGCTGCCATCTTACTCCTTACACACGTTCCCCACCCTCAACCTCCTCCAGGACACCCCAGTTTAGTGTGGACACCAGGCCCTAATGCCAGTGCAGGCTGCTCTCTCATCAAAGTCCCATTAGTCACTGTGATGGCCCTCAGCAAGGGCAGATGGGTTGGGAAGGGGGACAGCAGAGAAACACCATCTAAGAAGCTCTGGGTGATGCCTGCAGGGCCCCAGCCTTCCTGCCAATCAACACCACTGCAGTCTCCTAGATCCTGCCTCCAAGACAAAGACAAACCTGGGCTTATGCTTCACTCTAAGTCCCACACCAGGTCCCTGGACCATCAGCTCCCACTTCCTCCAGATGTGCTCACCACTGGGTAATGTTGATCCCCTTCCCATCTTCAGACCCAGGTTCACTCCCTCAGCTCTGCCCCCTTCCTGCTCCAATGCCACTGGATCTCGCTGGACTCACCCATGAGCTTGTAGTCCAGCCGGATCCAGGACCACCCCAGGCCTCTGATGGACCCCACAGCCGGGAAAGCCCGGATTGAGATTGTGACGTCCTCCCTGCAGCCTCTGATCTTTGCGTCAATAATCACCACCCACATCCCCATGGGAACATCAGATGCATGTCACCCCTGTCCTCTCTGCCCTGCACCTGCTGTGTCCTCAGAAGCCACAACACTCCTCTCTCCCCTCCACCTTCCTCACGGTCCTCCACGCGGGACTGAGCTGCAGGACGGGACAGGCGCCCACACCCGGGCTGTCCTGCTCGGTGTGAGGAGGCGCTGGCGGGGTGGGGGTCTCGCACTCACCTCAGCCCCGCGCCTCCGGGCGGGCGCCGCCATCGGACTTTGTGTGCGGAGCGGGGCGGGAGCAGAGGGAGCAGAGGCCGCCGCGGGAAGGGCCATCCTTTTCCGAGCCGTGGAGCGGGTCACCTTGGTGACCACGCCGCGCTTCACTCTCGGGTGTATGCTGTGTGCACCACCATTATCGCCCGTTCTCTGTCGGGGCATCTCCACCGGGACCCACGGACCTGGAGAATCCGACCCGTGTCCACGTAGCTAAGCTGATCCTGGGTGGACACCGGAAGTCCCGCCCCTGCGCCCTGTCCTTCAATGTCAACGCCTTTTCTGACCTTTCATTGGCTCAGCTGGAGGAATGCCACACAACGTCTTCTGGGTAATGTAGTTCCTGGAGCTCCAGGCCGCAGGTATGCAGGGTTCTCACCCTTCACTCCAGGAGAAAAGCCCGAGGTCACCTGCAGGTGGGGAGGGGCTAAAAAATCTGTCAAAATAAAGTCGTCATCGCCCTAGCTCAGTAGTTCTCAACCTTCTGGCCCTTTAAATACAGTTCCTCATGTTGTGACCCAACCATAAAATTATTTTCGTTGCTACTTCATAACTGTAATGTTGCTACTGTTATGAATCGTAATGTAAATATCCGATATGCAGGATGGTCTTATGCGACCCCTGGGAAACGATGGTTCCACCGCCAAAAGGGTCGGGACCCACAGGTTGAGAACCACTGCCGGTTTGGCTCAGTTGATAGAGCTTGGGTTGGATCCAGTCAAGAGCACATGCCCGGGTTGCCAGCTCGATCCCCAGTAGGGGGCGTGTAGGAGGCATCCAATCAATGATTCTCTCTCATCATTGATGTTTCTATTTCTTTCCTCTCTGAAATCAATAAAAATATTTTTTTAAAAATGAAAGTTGTCATCTTTTCCTGGTGAAAAGATTGGAGTCCGTGTAAATGAAAACTCATTATCTGTGAACCCAATACAGCAGACTTACTCTAGTAAAGAGGTATGCCTGCAATACGGAGTCTGGAAAATTTTGTCACACAAATGACCTACTTACACCATCATATATGTATGTGACAAATACAAGAATGTAGGACAAACTTTTGAAATAAAAAGAACTAAGATGCATAATATAAACTTTATTTTTATTTATTTTTTAAAATATATTTCATTGATTTTTTTACAGAGAGGAATAGAGAGCTAGAAACATCAATCAGCTGCCTCCTGCACACCCCCTACCGGGGATGTGCCCACAACCAAGGTACATGCCCTTGACCTGAATTGAACCTGGGACCCCTCAGTCCGCAGGCTGACGCTCTATCCACTGAGCCAAACCAGTTAGGGCTAAACTTTATTTTTTATATTTTTTAGAGAGGGATAGAGAGAAACATCAATGAGAGACACGTCCACTGGCTGCTTCCCGCACACCCCGTACTGGGGATTGAACCCAATATCTGGGCATGTGCCCTGATCAGGAACGGAACATGGGACCTCTTGGTCCCGTGAGCATCACCAGCCGGGCACCTGACTGCCTTACAGAAGGCAGAGCCTGTGGTTTGGGGCCAGTAGCCAGGGAATTGTGTGAAGCTCCTGAAATCATGTCATTTCCAGGCAAATGTATGGAAAAAGTATATTTCAGAGGCTGGAGCTGAGCGAGGCAAATAAGAAGGGAACTACATTGCGTTCCGTTCGGTGGGCTAGGCAATGAAGTCCTATGGTCTCAGCCTTTATTTTAAACTTTGTATCATATTGTTGTTTTTTTGTTTGTTTGTTTTAAATATATTTTATTGATTTTTTACAGAGAGGAAGGGAGAGGGATAAAGAGTTAGAAACATCGATGAGAGAGAAACTGATAGATCCTCCCTTCCCCCAACTGGTGGGGGGGGGGGGTATGACATAACCTGCAGCCCAGAAATACCAGAGTGACTAACCAGGTACCTTATATGGACTATACATCGGACCACCAATCCACACCTGCCAAATACCCTAAGCCCTTGTCCTATATGGACAATGCAGTAAGCCACCAATCAGTGTGCACCGAGTACACTAAGCCCCCCACCCCTTCCCATTCCGCCCCTCAAAAGGCGTGCCCACCCCTGCACGTGCTGCTGTTCTCCCCTTGTGAGACAGCCCGGCAGGTGCTTCTCCTCTAATAAAGCCTGTAGTCCCGGTCTTAGGCCTCCGTCTGATCTTTCAGAAACATCAATCAGTTGCCTCCTACACACTCCCTACTGGGGATGTGCCCGCAACCAAGGTACATGCCCTTGACCGGAATTGAACCTGGGACCTTTCAGTCCGCAGGCCGACGCTCTATCCACTGAGCCAAACCGGTTAGGGCTCATATTGTTGTTTTTTTAAATAGTCTTGAAACGGGCAGAAGCTCAGGTGTCATTGTAGCAGCAGAGAATGAAATCCTGAAAAGAGAAAACATATAGAGAACTCGCAAAACTCAACAATATCAAAACAACCATCCAAATACTTCAGGTATGAGGTCACGAATTTCCTAATACCCAGATTGCGGTGACGATGGCACAACTCTAAGCTTACTAAAAGTCCGTAAGTTGGACAATAGTACATAAATGGTACATACAAATTATGGCGATAGAACTGTTAAAATGAATTGCTATTATATACTACAAAATATATAGGGTATGAATTAAAAAAAAAACACGTCACCAAGTACAATGGCAAAAGTTAAAAGTAGAAGTACCTGGAGCTCTAGCCAGGTGGCGCAGTTGGACGGAGCTTCCCTCCACACAGCAAAGACTTGGGGGTTCTATTCCCCACTCAGGGCACATGCCTAGGTTTGGGGTTCAATGTGGTTGGGGTGAGTATGGGAGGCAGATAGTCGGTGTGTTTCTCTTGATCAATCTGTCTTTCCCTTTTTCTCTCTAACCATATTCTCAGGTGAGGATTAAAAAAAAAATTAAATGGAGATGTCTGGGACATACAAGAAAAAAGGCACCAATAAATCATGGATTAAGGATGTAAGAATTTGAATAAGGAGAAAATCATAATATAAACTGAACATAACTGAATTGTGTTTTTCAAGTATACCTCATTTATTTATTTATTTTAAAAAAATAATTTTATTGATTATCAGAGAGAAAGGGAGAAGGGGAGAGAGAGAGTGAAATATCAATGATGAGAGAATCGTTGATTGGCTGCGTCCTGCAGGCCCCACACTGGGGATCAAGCCAGCAACCCAGGCATGTGCCCTTGGCCGGAATCGAACCGTGGACCATTCAGTCTGCAGGCCGACGCTCTAGCCACTGAGCCAAGCCGGTTAGGGCTCAAGTATACCTCATTTTAATGCATACCCTTATGTTACTTGTTACCATCCTACAAACTCACCCACTTAATATTAATTACATATAAATATACATAAACATTTTATAATATGGAAATACATTTATGAGAAAGTAAAATAAAATTAGGTTATACCTCGCCCTAACCGGTTTGGCTCAGTGGATAGAGCATCAGCCTGTGGACTCAAGGGTCCCAGGTTTGATTTTAGTCAGGGGCATGTGCCTTGGTTGCGGGCGCATCCCCAGTGGGGAGTGTGCAGGAGGCAGCTGATCGATGTTTCTCTCTCATCGATGTTTCTGGCTCTCTATCCCTCTCCCTTCCTTTCTGTGAAAAATCAATAAAATATATTTTAAAAAATTAGGTTATACCTGATTTTTTTCTAGTTTTATTGAGATTTAATTGACATAGATTAGACATATTTTTAATTTGAGGAAAATTTTATTCTACACAAAAGTCACAAGGTACTATTACAAAGAGTTCACATTTACCTTCCTTTGACTTGCTGTCATAGGAACATTTTATATATCCATGGTACATTTGTCAAATTGAGAAATTAACATTGGTTTAACATTTAACCAAATTACAAATTCTACTCAGACTTCACAAATTTTTGACTACAATTCTTTGTCCCAGAATTCAACCCAAAATACAATATTGTATTTAGACATCATGGTTCCTTGACATTTTTTTCTGTTTTGTGACCATTTCTCAGTGTTTTTCTCATTTGTGAACTCAATCATTCTGAGAAGTACTAACTAGGTTTTTGTATATTAATCCACCTTTTGGG